ACATCAACGCTTTGCTGTAGTTAAAGAAAAATTGACCACTTTTCCCGAATATTTCAAATTCTTGCTCTCAAAAGACATTTATCTTTGAATAGTTTTGGCAAGTACTTTATCATAAAACAAGCTCTCAAATTTATTTAGTTCTCTTTTTCTTGAAGCCGTTGATTATTTCCTTCGTGATTTTTCTAGTTGTTAGTAATGGTTGAGCGAGGTGAGCAAGATGCGTGCGTTGTGAAAGTAGTGCTTAGAGTTGTTTGGCGAGAATTTTTCCTTGTCGTAAAGACATTGGAAAAAGATTATAGTGAATAATTGTGCATTCGAATACAAGGTGATGTTGCAGTGTTCTAAGTGCACTTATACTACACTAGTGATTTGAATATTTGAGCATTGTATTTGATGCAAGGCAAAATGGCTTCCGAAACATGTTTTATAGTCTCGAAAGGAAAGCAAGCGCTTTCTTATTGTTGGGCGTTAGATCTTATACAATATGCTTTTATATGCTGGGGTTTTATTTGATTTCTTACATTAAGTTCACACTGAAAATGAATGGTCAATGATTCAGCCAATGTCTGAATGTGTGAAAGGCTCCAGATATATGAATCTGCGTCATGTTCAAGCGGACGCACCTTTTCTGTGGGAAAAAATCGGAGACACGATTTCCTTTCTGCTATTAACGACATCTGCCTACGAGCACTTCATACCTTATCATTGTAGAATCCAATCGAAGAGTAGATTGGGAAGAATGGATGGGGGGGTTAAGTAAACAAACAGTTGAATAAAGAATAGTTATTTTTGGGTGTTGATATCAATGGCTATTGAATACAGAGTGAATTTTTATGAAATAGCTTTTTTTCGGATAGGCAAGTAGTTCGGATAGGATTCGTAGTGTTTTGATATTTGTTTAATAAGATAATTTGTTGGAGATTCAAAACGTTCGTTGGTTTGCTGTGTTTGTGTATGTAGTAGAATCCTGCTTGTTGAATTGAGTTAAATTTGAAGTAGTTTGGTTGGTTTGGTTTGTTGATAAAAAAATTGCTTTGCTTTTACGGTATTTTCAGGTAAATTATTGTAAGAAATAATAGCTGTTACTTGTTTGGATTCGTGACAGTTTTATACCACTTTATGTCTGTTATGTGAATTTCAATTCTTCAAAACCGGTTTGTAATACGACGTGGTGAATATCATATTGGCTATCAGAGAGGATAAACTGTCGGAGCATGTTCGGAAAGTGGTGGGATTGCGTATGAACAATTCACGGAAAGAAAATGGTTTTATTAGCAAGAATAAGAAAAAAGAAGACAGTAGCCCGTTGGGCTATGATGGCAATGTGGGAAAACAAAGTCAACAAGAAAAATGGAAAATCTTAAAACGTGGTGATCACTTAAAGTCAGCCGATTGTCCATCACAACAAGATGGTAGTCAGTCAAAAGAAAATATCAATAATAAACTTTCAAATGTTGGGAAGCAACAACAACATATATCATGTTCATCGCAGAAAAACCTAACTAATGATGAAAGGTTAGCTGCAGACGGCTTAAAGTTACCATCAGCACTATTATCTGCGTTATCGGCAGAAAAAACGGTTCAAACAACTCAGCCTATTATTATCAACTCAAATCGCGTAAGTAGTGTGTTGGAGAACTCATGTTATTAGAATTTGTAAATCTAAGCTTAAGATCTTATCCCGTGCATCTGTATGCTTCTTTTGTTTTCTCTCATCTATATTCATAATTATTCATTTAGCAACAATCATTGCATCTTGCTCTACCAAAGCAATCAGCGTCAGCATCGCCACCAGTTCGACCAAGTCCTTCGACAACGCCTACTGTTGTAACGTCAACACCAACGTCGGCTGGTACTGTTACACCGCAAGGAAATTTACCATCAATATCATCGTATTTTAATATTTTGAATCCATCAGTACCACTCGTGCTGACAAAGGCATCAAATATTGTCTTACCGTCTACTTCTGTCTCTTCTACTGCAGCATTACACGAGCAATACATTCAATCAGTTTCATCACGTTTATTCGGCTCACAAAATTCATCAATAATGATGAAATCTTCAATGAAACTAATTGATGATACGCTCGGTTGGTGTGAAAATGGTCAAATACAACAATATTTACACGACACAGAGGGTAATCTTGTTATTGGTGCTCTTGGTAGACAACATGTGGGAAAATCAACGTTGTTATCATTATTAGGAGGTAAGCTATGAAAATTAACAAAATTCCGGTTAATGCTAAAAAGGTTTTCCTTTATTTTAGGTAATCAGTTTACCGATGAAGATCGCACGATGATCTGTAAGTTAAATGCATAATTCTACATTTTAGTTTACAGCTTTAACCCGAAAATGTTCATGCTTCAGACTGATCCGATTATTAGAGTATTTCTGGGAAGCTTATTTGAGATTTTTGCCATTATTTTTGTTGCTAATATATCTGTTTTACTGTGTCTTTGATAGTTCCACCATCATCTCAACTTCCAACATCAATGTCGTCATCTCAAATGACATCGTCGATAACTTCAACTTCCACTCAATCATCGACAGCTAATGCTACATCCAAACAGCTAAATTCAGTAACAACAGGAATTGATTTATATGTGACAAGTGAACGGACGATTTTATTGGATACACAGCCTTTGTAAGTGAAACGTTCAATTCGAACTAGAACCGTATTTCAGAACAAAATAAAACTATTTTCATATTCATAGTTTTGTTTTCTGTAGCAGATTCTTTTATTGAACATATATACCTGCGATAGGAAAGATGAGTAAGAATCTTATAATATAGCTTCTTTCAATGAGGATCTTCAATACATAAATACATTGCATTGTTTTAGATTAAGTCCGAGTCTACTTCAAAATTTGATAGAAAATGAACAAAATCGCGAGCAACAACATCACCAACGTCGGCATTACAACCATCATTATCGCGAGCAAAACGAAAGACAGCAAGACTTTCAACATTTATGGCAACAACAAAATGATCCGAATTCAATATATATTGATAATATGATTGAATTAAAATCGATTGAAATCGCGTGTTTTATCATGTCGGTGTGCCATGTTGTGTTAATTATTGAAGATCAATTTGCTGATCCATATATTTATCGTTTATTACAATTAGCCGAAATTCTACGTCCCGTTATTAAAACAAATCAACGTGAATTAATTCGTCAGCACTCACCACATTTAATATTTGTTATGAATAAATGTGATGATTATATTCAACCACATGAACATTTAACCATTAAAAAAACGATTAATAATTTAATGTGTGAAACACGATTTTTCTATCGTGGATCACTGAATAACTTGAATAAATTAAAAATACGTACAAGTGCAAAAAGTATTATATTATCAATGACGAAAAATATGAGTAATAATAATCATCGTATGATGAAAATGAATGGTGGTACAAACGAAAATGAGAGTGGTGACAAAGGAGGATTGAAAAAATTATTCCAAAATAAAAATAAATCAACAACAAAAACGAAGAAAATGTTAACAGCAAATGATTTGAGAGGAGAAGACGATACAAAAACGGAAAAAATGGAAAATGAAAGTGAAGACGATGATGATGATGACCAGGATACAATTAATGATTATAAGGTATAGAAGTGCATTTTGAAAATAGGATGTAGTGATCACACCTCGAAAGAGTGATTCTTTTGTAAATACTTAATCTGATTCATGTTTTAACGCTTCGATTATACTATATGAAACAACTTGCTCGATGAAAAAGTCGATCTTTTTAGCTCCGTGAAGACGATTTTGAGGATGAGAACGATGTACAAGATGATATGGACAATGAAAGTGAAGAAGGTAATAAATATACAAAGAAAAGTTTGAAAACACGTAAGTGAGTCACATCTTATTTAAGAGTTATTTCATTAGTATATTATTGTTTTTAAGACTATCTAAATTCGTATGACAATGTGAATGCCGTATTTATTCCTCGTCGTGATTTTCGTGTATCATCATTATCCCATTGGCAATCACGTTTTATCGGTTTTTCAAATCCTGATTCAACAATTAGACAGTTACGTCAACAACTGTTATCAATTGATCGTCCATTAATTGATCAATGCTTATCTCAACGTGCTTGGCTTAATCATGCATCACGAGTATGGGATTCTATAACCAGATCAAACTGGATAGCCGATTATAGTCGTTTAATGACTTAATGTGAATCAATGCTGGTCTTAATGGTGCCACACACACACGCACGCAAGATTTATACTCGTAAATTCAGAAGGCACATCAGAGCCTTGTGTAAATGTCTGCGTTGTCTTGAAGACACATTACACACTGATATACAACAAAAATGAGATGAAAATATGATATGTGCCATGAAACAAGATAGTGACAAATTAAGACAATGAAAAAAAATCAATCAATCAAGAACGCTTTATTTGTCTCACTTTCTAACATATATTTTCTCTCGTTGTGAGAGTTAAATATTATGCATAACAAAAAAAAAGTTGTATCGAACTGATCAAAATGCGCGTTAATTCCATAAAAAAGAGTTGCCGTACTTTATTTGGAAAAAAACGTCATTTATTCGTCTTGTATTTTGTATTTGTTTACTCATTTATTTGGGGCGGTATTATTTTTTCTTTTGCTTTTTATTTGTTTAATGTTAGCGATTTGTCTTTAAACTAGTAAGACAATGCGTTTTTTGCAGCTCTTTCTTTTTTCTCTTTGCTTTATTGTTACTAACAAATTATCGTTCATTTTGCCTAAGTTTAGGTTTTTTTTGATTATTTGTACTTCTACAACTAACATCATTATAAGAGTATTATTAACAACAGTTCATTCATATCTTTTCTTGGATTCATTGTCTTTTTTATTAATAAATCAAAAAAATTACAGATGGAAATTCAAAAAACTAACATAGAAAGATGCAAAATATTTTCCTTTGTATGTCCTCTCGAAAGATCATCATGACATTTTTTACTATTAGTGTCTTTTAAATTCAATAGATCTTCCATAATAAATAAAGAATCTATTTAAGTCATCTACTTCCGATATGAATATATAAACGATAATCATTTTTAGAATTTATTGTCTTTAATTCTGTTAACATGAAGGATTTATCTTCGATATTGCGTTCTAAATACATAAAAACACAGTAAACATTATCCAATAACAAATTACTTTAATGTACGTACCTCTAGAGCATTGAGTTTTTCAAAAACCTTGCTTGTTTCGTTTGATGGTATCATATTAACGTGTGGGCAATTTGTATGATTATTGGGTACAGTTTCTGATCCATTATCATCATTATTTACGATATCTTTTGTCATTGCGTTACATGAATAGTTGATATCACATGGATTTGGTACGGTTTGAAATGGGGCCGATATTGGACAAGGGGGTTGAACAGGCACACAACCCGATGCTGTTGATAACGCACAAAAGGGTGGGGATGTAGTCTGACCCGTTAGATATGATGGCGTGCACATGACAGTATACGGTTGAGCGGAAAGTGGCAGATAATATTGATTCATTTGTGTTGGATAATTTGATGATTGTTGGAAGTTCTTTATTGGAGATTGTTGCGAATTAACTATGGCAGTTTGTTTTTCTGGTGAACATTTATCAAATACGCTGATAGGTGCACCACCGACAGGTCTGAAATATTTCAGATATTATGGAAAATAGTTTAACAATACTAAAAGTCGTCGCCTACGGTGTGATCATAGTTGTCACTACGCGATCAACAATGTCATCGATGCATAAACACGGATCTTGATTTAAAATTTCTGAAACAAGAATTTGGGCACATTCCCTGACTTCGTGAAGCTAAAATTATTAAACCGAGATAATATGTGAGAGAGAGATTTTTCACCATTTATTTTTTTAATCTTTTCTACCTCTCCTTGACCAATTAAACATTGTATTTTATTCAAAATCCGTTTCACCACATAATCTGTAATCTAGAAATGTCATCATCATTGGATTTAGAGCGCGTATATATATTCTGCGATACATTACTTACTAAAGAATCTTCTCCGTAAGATGATAACGATTCACAATTTGGTCTATTGTACATATCGTCACAAATCATTGGAACACATTTTTTTCTGTGAGTTACTCTAAAAACAGATTTATTTAAGTTAGGTAATAAAATATTACAGAAATAACTAGAAAATGTAGACCTACTTTACAGTTTCTTTTGAGCAGTTTGGAAATAAATTTTTGGAAGTAGCAAGCGGTGGCGTACATTTGGCTTGAAATTGTAGCCAGTCTTGAAAGCGTGTATGACGTTTGAAAGCTTAGAAATAAAAATTTGAACAAGACTACTTTTCAATATAGGGTGTTAATAGTCTCACTCTTAGCTTTTAATGCATCGGGAATACAATGCTGTGCTGCTACTCTGTAATAGAATGCTCCGTAATCTTGATTTGTCGTACGATCTAGAATCAAAGAAAAAATTCTAAAGAGACAAGTAGCATATGTTTTATTTTTGATTTTTTCGCAAGTATACAATGTTCACTACAATCGGCTGTTGTGAATCTCGTTAATAAAGTTGTCTGTGTTGGTTTATAGTCATCTAATTCCATACAAAATATCTTCGAATCACACTTATTCTGTCTCTTTGATACGTAAGGTATGATGCACCTAGATATTTTATAGTTAGACACTATAAAAAGATTAACAAAAATCATTTCGAAGTATCTCTTACGTATGTTGAGCTAATGTAGAATTTAATTGTGTTTATTTACTCTTGTTGTCATTTTTTGATATTTAGATCAATTCAATTATATTTATGCCGATTATAGATGGTATTCCATTGCATATCGATAATGTTCGCATATCATATTTATCATCAAAAGGAATATTATTAATGTGTAAAGTAATAAAAAAGTCTAGTTTCAAAAAAAATAAATATATATTTGCTAGAAAAAGTATTCGATTTCTTGCGCACGCGCGAGAAAGTTTAGGTTTGAGAATTGTATTATATTATGTTTTCGTTTAAATATAAAATTCAATAGCATGGCATCGATATAATGAAAGAGATAATGAGACATCATGATATTTTGTTTACAAACAAGCTATAATTCAGACAATGATAAAAATTTGATTTTTTATTGTTATAGATGTATTTATTTTACAATGTTATTAACTTAGACATATCAGAACTCTTTATATAAAAAAAAAGTTGAATTTTGCTTTTATTTCAAAAGTAAAATTTTGAAGTTTTTTCTTTTGAAAATATAAATATTGTATTGCCACGAATACTAGACAAATTTAAAATAGATCTTAACAAACGGATTCACCACACTTTATCTCGCTAATTTAGAACAATTTTTAGGTGTTCTTCTCCTGGATTCGATCTTCCGACCTTTCATACGCTGTACTTCTCCAACTACGCATTTTCCCATTGCACTAAATTGTGCAAAGGAATAACCGCTCGGGAGAGTTATACATCATCATTTGTGCATTATAACTAGCAGTCGCTAGTAAAAGTATCCGTCGTACACAGTCGTGTCGACGTTAAAAATAAAGTCGACACTTATGTATAGTATAGCTAGTAACATGTGAGTGATCACTTGTAAAGACTATTTAAATATATAGATAAGTGTACGGCCTTCATACGAATGTATCATCATAACTCGTAGTTTCCTTTGCACAATTTAGTGCAATGAGAAAATGCGTAGTTGGAGAAGTACAGCGTATGGAAAGGTCGGAAGATCGAATCCAGGAGAAGAACACCTAAAAATTGTTCTAAAAACGAATATCTCTCCTATAAAAAGTATTCTCTTTGTCTCGCTAAATGTTATATTTCTTCTAATTGTTAAGATTTATGAGATTGAGATAATATTTGTTGCATTCTTCGGGTACTATATATTCTTCAAAATAGATCAATTCTCCTAATTAAAGTTCATCAACATTGATCTAAAGACAATTGTTTCCATATCCCGTGAAGTATGAACTTTTGAAAAGTTTTTAGTATATAATTGATTCGATTATCTCCAATATCAATGTGCTAGCCTTATTATCCATTTTTTTTGTATTTTCAGAGATCATTAGTTTGATGTGATGAAAAATACATATTTATAGTGATATTTTCTATTCGATTCTTAAATTAGTTGCTTGTTTGATTTAGCATGCACTATATATTTATGTAAACAGTTGATAAATCGCTTATTTTTTTTCTCTATATATCTGCATTACTGTCCGTTATATTAATAATATTATAACACAATCTTTCCGTCAACAGTACATCATGTGTATGTCTAACTAGAAGACCATTATAAATATAAGATATCAATAAAGACGTTTTGCAACAAATATACTTAAGCAAACATAGAAATTTCATGTTGTTCTCTTATATTTATATTGAGAAGAAAGTATTATTACATTTTGTCATATTACTTGTCCACGTATATTTTCTTGAAGTTATCAGAAAAGGAAATGCTTTTATTTATATGGAATAGGGAAATGTTATTCTCATTACTTTGATTTTTCTTTTAGAAAAACACAAAGTTTTCATAGAATAAAGTATAAAACGTAATATGTGGTATACTGCGGGCATTGAATGTGATCAAGTTATAACAAATGTATAACATCGAAACTATTAGAAAATATTCTTTCACATATGTATAGAAACGAGAGAGAAAATAGTAACCTTTTGAAGCAAAAATAGCTTTTAGTCTGAAAAAATCTAACAAATATTATAACATAGCTCGAAACTGTGTAAATGTTACTTCATAATCAATTCTATATTTTCGAACAATTGTAGTTAACTGTTTTTGGCAAATTGTCATGTGTCAAAAAAACGTTTGTTGTTGTGAAACATCTAGAAGGCGTTGTTTTGATTAAAATAATAATTAGAAAATATCGTATTCTACGATATTTAAAACTCAAGATTAGTCACAGTGTGCGTGAGTTATTAAAAAAAATTGTCACAATTCTCTCATGAGTCTGAGATATCTAATGAAATAAGTAAAATTAATCAATGTATTTTGACAAGATCATGTCATTGTAATAATGTGATATATATCTTATAGTGCATGTTCGAAATATGTACTTTTAATTTAAAAGTACAACTAGTTCTAATTTAGCTATTTCTGCTGGCGATGAATTATTTCTTTTAACTTTATTTAGTTTATTCTTTTGAATTGAATTAATTCAAAGAATTAATTTCTAAACTAACAGTTTGTTAATACGGCATAGTAGGAGTAGATTTCCGTTGGAGTTTTTGACATATTATTATTTTCTATTATCATGCATATAAATAAAACTTTTCCGTTGATTATCAATAATGAAATATGTTATTTATAGATAGATTACCATCAATCATTCCACTACTAGAACTACAATCAATCCTTTATTTACTCTAATATATAGAAAATTAAATTTAAACTTATACTAGAAACCCTTTTAAGTATTATATATAACAATTGTCACTAGGTATTAATGATATTTTTCTCTTTCTATTATTTATATATTGTTATACATTTTACGAACAATGAAGCATAGGCAACCTTTTCGTGTTTTTTTTCCAGTATGACATACATGCACAACAAAAAATAAATTTGGATTATCATCAAAGAAATGGGACAAAAAAAAAGAGGATGGAGCCTCTGGTTTTATATGCACGTAGATACATTTGATTATTGATATAAACAAAACTGTATCTATATATCATTGCAAGTTTAACATAGTGCAGAAACAAACGTCTGCAGCAATGTAACTACTTTATTGTTTATATAATAGAATGACGTCTGTAATGATTGAACAAGGTTACTAAGCATACTATAATTTCTGGATATTAATTTAAACTATTAATTAATAGAAATACATCTAACTTCATTTTATTCCTTATGTTTTTATTTCATAACTAAAAAATTCAATGTCACAAAATGGATCGATGATTTACTAAAGGTTAGTTTATTTTCAACTTTTTTTCAACAATAACATATCTATGTATAGTAATGTGAAACATGATAAGATCTGTTCGATTCTTCATGATAATATCCAACTTTTTTCTTCTCAGGCGAAATTATCAACAACAAAGCATCTAACTAGATATATTCGAGTGTACTCTATCCATAAAATACTTTAGCTTGTTTTTGTTCAAGAAACAAATTTCACAAAATATGCAACTTTCCCACTAGTTTTTACTATGTTTAACTTACCCCAGTGACGTAGCCAGAATTTTTAGAGTGGAGGGGATCAAATTTCATTTTATCGATTTAAAATCGAAAAAATAGTCCTGTCGAAAATCATCGATTTTCTATTGAAGTATTTTTTATCTTAGTGAATTTTTTACAATTTATTCTTACTTATCTTGACTTATATATGACTATGACTTTTTTTGGGAAGGGGGGATCGATCTCCACAATTTCCCCCTGGCTACGTCACTGACTTACCCTTTACAATATGTTTCCAAAACATTAAGAGAGGAGAAAAAACTCTACGCCTTGTTACCGGTAGTGGATACTAAAAAGCTAGAAAAATAAAACAATAAATGGCAATAATGGAAATGATAGATGAACCATGAAAGAGAAACTTTTTCTTTATCTTCTGTTCGAT